GTTGGCACAGGAGAAGTAGTTGTATTTGTTAATTACCCTGAGAATGATGAGGCCTGTTTGATCATAAGGCCATATATGAAGTAGTATGGTGGCATAATTCAGGAGAGCATCAGCAACTTGGGCTAGGTTAACAGGAGCCTCCCAATTAAAATCAAGAGAAGAGAACACGCCATTTTCATCTCTTTTCTCGATTTTCTGTATAGGTTTGGAGCTTACATTTATATTTCCAGAGTGGAAGTGCTTGAAGGAGAGGCACTTGGTACGGTCATGTAGCTGCTGGATAGTGCGGTGGGTCACTTTGTTATTAGAGCCGCTGTACTGGAGGGGAAGGCTCTTGTACTGATGGCTGCGGACTCTGGGAACCTTTTTGTACCAGTCTTTGATATCTCCCAAGGGGTATCTTTGAAACCTGGCAGAGTGGAGAAGTTTGAACCCGTCATCCTTTTCTTTTTTGAATTTGACGAGAGGAGGTTTTTTGTCCCTGGTAAAAGAAGAAGAGAGGTCACTCTCGACGGATTTGGCATTCTCACGATCAAACTGGGCCAGTGCCATGATATTTTCAAGGGACATTGAGTTAAACCTGGCTTTATCTTGTAGGGCTAGAGGCCTTTTCTCAGCTGGCCAGAGAGAATGCATGACGTTCCAGTTGCTTCCTGGGTTGTCATCATCTTCATCCGAGTCTGAGGACGAGGAACTATCAGAAGAAGAAGAACCAGAAGAACTAACAGTTGCCTTCTTTGATTTCTTAGATTTTTTAGATTTCTTTTTCTTCTTCCTGGTATGAGGAACAGAGGAAGATTTAGATTTCCTGAACAGTAATAAATTGCAAAGCAAACAGGGGCATCGTATTGAGATTAGGATAAGATTTAGAAATTAGTTGAGATAGTACCTTTTCCGGGTTGTCGGATGAGTCACAACTGACGAGTCAGAATTAGTATCCGCATGGATCAGCCTGATAGAGTTAGCGACAACTAACAAATTATGGGAAAAAGGACATGCAAAACCTATTCACCAACTGTGAAGTATGTGAAGTAACGTGGGACATCCTGTAACCCCATATCGAAATTAATCAATTACCTTGGAGCTGTTTAAGAATAATAATGTCAAGTTATTATTTTTTTTTTTTTAAATTAGTATCGAGTCTAGTTTAGGATAGAATAAAAGTTTCTTGTTTGAAGGAAATTTACTTGGATTAAGCATAGAAATTGTAACGAGTAATGCTGTAATAGTAAATGTTACGTGTCAGATTAAATTACAGTAATGCAAATAATCAAGCAACTGACACATTTAGTAAGTTAGAACCGAGAAAGGTTAATTATGCATCTGTGAGGACCTGGCCTGGTGTTTATAAGTTAAAGCAAAAAGTAAAAGTTAAGTAAAGTAAATTAATTAAGCATTCGGTTCACTTTTAGATAAAGTCAGGAATTCTCCGAACAGCATTACAGTCTAAACAGCATTACACCATAACTTTAGAAAGGAGATAAATAAGTAAATAACAAGCATATTTAAAAACAAGTATATTTATTAAAAACTTGAATCAGCATATGATTATATAATTAAACAGCTAGGATGAATTTAGTATGTTTTAAGTTTAATTTTAACTAAAGCTATATAGATCCGTAAGTACAAGTCTGAACAGCATTACACCATAAGCTTTAGAAAGAAGATAAATAAGTAAGTAACAAGCATGATTAAATAACGAATATATTTATTAAAAAACTTGAACCAGCATATGATTATATAATTAAACAGCCAGGATTATTATTTTATCTGGAAGTAATTTGGGATCAATGGAGGATCACATATTTTAAAAAATGTTTGGATTAACAGTAGTACAGTGATCATTATTTCAAACAAATACAGGGACTAGTAAATCCGGAATAAGTTGAGGATGACAAATAATAAATGTCGGCTTTAGCAGCGGATCAACAGAAATTGTAAGTTTGTTTAGGAATGGCCTGTATAAGTTGTAGGCATAGGGAAAAATAATTAGTAAACCATAATTATAAACGAAAGACAGAATAATTAAGCATAGGGAAAAATAATTAGTAAACCATAATTATAAACGAAAGACAGAATAATTAGTTAGGAAAGAGATTAATTAGTAAACCATGATTAGGATCAAGAAAATATTATTAGGGGTGAAAAGCTGAGCGCGAGTGTTTAGCAAAACAGTAAGATTGTTTAGCGTCTAACCACTTGTTGCATTGATGCACATACTGTTTGTTCTTCATATCTTTGCAACCTGTAGCAGTGCCAGCATTCCTACAAAAGCCATTATTGTAGTTAAAGCATATTGGGTTAGAGCCAACCATGACAACCTTGTTGCGGTTTGGGTTAGAGTTGATGTTGGAGTTGGTGAACTGAGGCCTAGGAGCGGGGTTGAACTTGAACTTCTCCGACTCAGGTCTAGGGTTCCTTCCGGTGGG